AAGTTAAAAATAATTAGTTTTAAAGAAAAAGAAAGCTGTATTCATAAATCGTTCACATTAGAATTCTATTTGCAAAGTCAATTATAATTTGATTCGTCTTACCGTTCAGTCTCAAAGGTTGAAGCAAGCAAAGAAGACGATCCTCCAAATTCGCCGTTTTAAAATGATTGTACGAAGGTGTTGGCCCTTGCTTATCGAGAGCCCAAGTTCATATTTCTTGATATTTGTTGTATTTGGATTTTAAAGGAGTTTCAATAAACTTCATTTTAGAGGATGTTAAAATACTTATATCCCTCCTTTGACGCACAGAACACAAAAGACTTGGTTGAGGAAAACTGAGTTTCGTCTTTACTAGACCTTCTCAATTCCTCTACAACAGCTATCCTCAACCAAATCTTGTGTTTTCTGTGCCGTCAAAGGAGGGATAACAGTTTTTTGACATCCTCTAAAATCAAGTTAATATTCTTGCATTAACTTGCACTCCTTTATACATCAACATTCAAAGACTATCTGAATTAAATTTGATAGTGTCTTTTGAATATATGAAGAATACAGGCATCTGCAACACATCTGTTGCTTCTAGATACAAATCCAAAATTTCCTTGCGTACTTACTCGGACAGTTTCTTTGTTATCTAGGTTGAACACACTTATGATTTAACAAAAGTACCCAAAACACAAATTTCTCTCTCCGACAGATTAAGATATTTTAAGAAATTGTTCCTTTAAGCCTTGTTAAACCGGGCACTATTTGACTGTTTCATGTTATATGTGAACTTGCTTTTTAAACAAAACTGTTTTTTGACATACTAAAACCAAGACAGTTTAATGAAACATCTTTCRTCTATTGACCATATATTCAATAATTGATAAGTTTAAGCCACAAATTCTTTGATGATCCAATTAATTGGCTGTTTGTTAAAATTTATATTGTTTGATTTAATTGAACTAGCTTTTTTTTAATTGCTTTTTGACACTTGCGGTGATTTGTTTGCGTCTTTCGGTGCCAGATGTAGCGGTACTAGACATGGCATGGCAGCATTTACCTAACGATCGCAAATTTTACATATTTGTTGCTAAAACAAAAGTCAAACTTAGTAGTTTTTGGGTAATTTCATAAGTAATGAATGTAGAAAAATGAAGCCATAATATAACACGTGATCATGTGATCTAGCATCTCATTAGTATTCAACGATTTGTTTCAGCTTTGCCTTGATTTTGTTCTGGTATTCTGRTTTTCCTTGCGAWGAATTTTTATTAGGCAAACTCAATTTTTTTTCGCCTTCTACCAACATGAGAAATATTAAACAATGTTACGACTTGAAGTTTATATTGTTGTTGAAGTTGGGTTTTCTTAGGGATTTAGTTGTTATTGTTTTTGTGGTTACTCCGCACGGAGTATCCACTTAGCTATCGCGCGATGTAAATATGATCGATGGATGGTCGCAACAATAGTAACCAGTATAGCCAGGCGTTCCTAACCGATRTAGGCTGATGTCATGCAAAACAGAGTTATATTACGTAATTTTCCGATTCGTTTACTCAGAAGACCCACAAAGTACTCAAGACATGGAACAATTTCTATTCGCACTTCCAAAACTTGAAGTGACATTTAAAAAGAAACAAAATAAAGTCACCAATGTTTTGCTACTCTACTGAAGAGATACAGTAATTGACAGTAACTGATTATTTAAAACTTCTCAACTCGAAAATTCATAGTCATATTTGCGTTAAACATGTATTTTTATTTATACATTTTCCATTAACAAATTATATAATATAACTTGGCTTTCTTGTTAATATTAAATATTCAATTTCAATAAGAGATATATATGTATCTTAAGTTTCTTACTTTACTTAATCTTACAATGTTCACCTGTTCATTATATAAATCGTTCTTGTACATGTTATGAAATAAAACATTTCAGTCTAATAATGGACGTCGAAAATTGTCTGTTTATAATTTTCAAATTACTATTCAAATGTGGGTCATTTTCTTAGCAGTTGCTTTCAACCCTACTTCAAAGAACTCTCAAAAACTTTCAACCATATCAATGAAAAGAACTTTCCTTTTGAATACATTTCAATGACAAATAATGTTGGGAGTAACCACATGCGCTCGTTGAGCGCCTTTAATTTGACACTTGCGGTGATTTTATTTGTTTTTTGAATCCAGATGTAGCGCTTCTGGTCGACATAGTTGTAGCTCGAGTGGTATTCATCTCGCCGGCGCTCGCCGATGTTTATCCAGAACCGAAGTTTAATTATAAAACTATATTCATAAATCGTTTTTGGATTTAAAATTCTATTCGTTAAGTAATTATAATTTGATTAGTCGTTAATTACATCTTTCTGTATTCGTCTTCACAATCAATCTTCGAGTTGTGTTGCCATTGGCGGCTTGATTCTTTTCTGCCGCCTTTCTTCTTTGCTTTCTCGAAATGTCTCCTGACCCTCTTCTCTCCTTCCGTTACGAGCTTCATCTAAAAACCCACACACTTCCTGATCTCATCACTCGTACTTTAAAGCAGAAGTTTCGAGTATTTGAAGTCTATATCAACAATAATTACTTTACATTTTGACTGTGTTAAAGGACGCGCTCTATTTTTAATGATGAAGAAAGTGTAGTTAATTAAAACAGAAAATAAGTACGTGTTTCTATGCTGAAGCTCTAATAAAAAACGAAGATACATTGCGAATTATCATGATATCAGCGTTTGTCATAACTCAAGATAATCAAGGTGTGGGAAAGTCTAACAAGGAGTCAATTTTGTACACTGATGCGGTAGACGAACGACTTTCGTTTATAGCCTCATCAGCATTCATACTTTCTATTGATACTTTTTTAGTAATCTGCTTATTATCCCCAATATTTCCAGATGTAATGTTAATCCATACAGTCATCTATTGTAAGTAGATACTGTTTTGTCAAGAGATCGGTGGATTCTTGGGCGTCTTAGGGGTTTTAATCTTTTTGTAATACACTTGAAAATCAATGAAATACTAGAAATCTGGATTAAAGATCAATTTTGTGAGGTCGTTTTTACGTACTTAGATTATTAAAGGGTTTTAGTGCACACGTAATTAAGGTAAAACGTTYGTCTATGCCTCAGGGTATATTCCTGTATTGACGCATTGTAAAAGAGCACACTTTTTTTCCAAGTTCAATTTTCGACACCCACTCGCTTAATTGATTCTTCATGTGCATGCCTGCGTTGAACATGCACTGTTATGTAGGTTAATATCATTGTAGTTAACAGTGTCCCCAGGCAAATAAAAAAATATAAACGCTGGGTGATTATTACTTTGAACGTTAACTTATACTTTAACTTATAATTGACATGCTACTTTCCGTAGGTACTAACTATGAAGGATTGTTCATTGGAATCACGCAAGGCTCCACTGACCCTTCGCGTGCTCTAGTAATGGAAATAATCACCTACTCGAGCAACTATATCTACTATAGTAGAGGCTATCAAAATCACGAGAATGTCTTACATATAGAATAATACAAATGTACTAGCTATAAAACCTTGTGGCATTTCTGTATTATAAAATTACGCATGCTGTTGGTGTGTAGTGTTGTCGAGTGCACAGGTTAAAAGCGTCACTTCGCACTCTGTCCTTTGAAATAATTACTAGAAATAGCCTGACTGTTGAAAATGCCTTCAGATTAACGACATACTGAAATCTGATGGAAATCAAAGTTCTTCTTATTAGCACATTGTTCACGCGTGTTTGTTTTGACTGAAGTGTCAAAGTGTTCGGACTTCTTCACTCTTAAGTGTGATGTAATGTAATTAGTGACAACGATAGCACACTAGAAATCCCTACGTGGTTCTTAAAAAGCATAAAGCGTCAGTTTAGCTTTCTTAATACCATAGATAAGCAAATAATGTTATTTTTAGTATTATAAGTGTAGTTGTCAATTCTGTACCTCTTTCACTTGCTACACCACCAATGCAGACAAGGTAAACCATGAGTACAATAGAGTACATAGCGGTTTGCTTGATGTTTTACAGCAGCGTCAAGCAGAGTTCTAGTAAGATAAAGGTCATGCATCAGTTCGTTTTTTGTATAAACTCATCAGGCGGACATATAAAGTATTTAATTGGATAACAAATTGTATGATATGATCCTAATTCCAATCATTTTATTGCAACCTGATCAGCTTACATGCCTATCGTTCCATGTTATCTACGTACGTAACTGAGTACGTAATGACTTGCGTTTGCTATACGCTTATGTAGCGTATTGTATTGTTGTAACGGACAGCGATCCGCTATGGAACTAGCGAAGTGGTTGATCAAGATTGTTTCTCTTTTGAACAGATGTTATATCCCCCTCGATTCGATTGTTTCTCTCTTGGAGAGATCCTCCCCCCCCCTCCCCCCTTACCCCACCCACGACACCTTGCACCCTATTTTGTGTATTCTTGGCAGCCATTTTGTGCTGTGCTCATGTGGATATTATTAGCTAAACGAACAGAATTCAAAGGTAGCAGAAATCATCATCATGCATCATCTAATCTTTCATTCATTTTTTAAAATATATATAAACTCAAATATGTCTGTCAATAAAAATGTGAAGTTAGTCACCCATCATACACTTCTCAACATCACTATGGATACCAGCGATTCACTTAAAACATGTTGTTTATTTTGACGCGTATTGATTTAATTCGTGTTTTTGTTTAATATCACGCCTCTAGTATCAAGTCCTGTACAAAGTCTACGACCCAGCCTACCCTTATAATTTCAATATTGAGTTGATAAGTGCCTATATGATATTAATAGTAATATAATAATGATATAATAATAATAATAATTAATATAACATGCATTTAACATGAATCTCAATGCTGTACATTTCGAAATAATAAAATAATTAGGTATATTATACAAGTTTTATCTAAAACAATATTTTAAATAAGATTTTAAATAGAGGTTTTGAAAGAGTCCTGGGAGTGTACACATATAGCTGAATTTTTTTCACGATTCAGCCAAATTTGAAAGCGATTCAGATTTACTTGTGTCCCATAAATCTCTTCGGTTGGCATAAAATGTCCATCTAGGTTCTAACTTTGGTAACATTTATTTGATTAAGGATATATTTGAAAGTTTCCTGTATTTCTCGAATAAAAGATTGACAACAAATCCCCAATCGTAGCTCATAGTTGCCTTACTTTGAGTCAGGACCGTACTTTGGTCACTCTGACATCTCACTAAATAAGAAGGTGTTTATTTTTTCACCTTAAATCGAGTGTAAATATAAACTTAGGATAGACCGATTTAATATTCGATAACATATATCATTACCTCTATAAACTAGGCCAATTACATGCCACATAGTGCAGTACCTTTATTTCTATGTTGAGGGTAACTAAACTAGCCAAATTAGACTGACTATAGACTGCTTTGKCAGATAWKTTTCAATTTATGCGCAATCCTACGTTGTTTTGAAGGCAAATATCTTATGGAATCTACTTGATCAGAAGCATCAATAAAATCTTCAAGATAATGACTTTGAAAAGCTATGAAAGACTTGAAATTCCTTAAAAGCGAAGGTCAGTGAAGCCAGTCACCAATAAAGCATCAGTTTAGTAGTACTGATTATCATACTATCAAATCATGAGGACTATTTAATACCAATCAAAAACAATTTAGTCAACTAATTAAGACAGTAACTGATACTTACAGTAGACCTTCTTAACCAGGAATCATCATTTACGAGAAATATCGCGTGGCGAATCAGTAAACCCAGGTATTCAGCGTTGCTTAATTGTTTTAACTATTCTAAAGTTGTTTGTACATCCAGTGACCCTGAGGATAAAGTCAGACAATAATTCTTGCACAAACAATAACTGATTTCTGTCTGATCGTGTTGGCACAAAATGACAAGCAACTGATAGAAATACTCGCGCAACAATATCACAAATATGACCGATTTGACCTCCGTTTATGTCATGAGATTGTTTCACATGCCTGTGGATGCATATCGAGATCATTTTTTCATCAATTTATCTTGGTCGTTCAAGAAGTGTCTGTTTGGAAGAAGGCGATAACGAACATTTCAAAATAATAGAAACTCTTTCAATGATATCTCAAGGGTTTAGCTTGCGCGACGAGTGATGGAAGCTTTAGAAAAGTACTGACACATTTGATGTTCAAGAGTATAAACGAGCAATAAATATTAGGAAGTTTCTGCATTCTTACTGCGATTTTTTATCATTTATTTTAGCTAAGATTGTCTAACGACTACCCTGGATGCATGAATATGAAAACTTATCTGTTCCCAGTGGACCGTTATCGTAAGATATTCTATCAGATTGACTTTGATATCAAGATAGTTGAATATATATTACTCAAAACAACCTTATATGTGTGTAAATACTGGAAAAAAGCACCTTAATTTATTTGGGAACAATAGGTGTCTGGCTATATTGCTATCAAGCATAAATTACATCTAAGCAGTAATCTTCAAATTGTTATTGATGACTGATATGGGTTTAAATACCTCACTAATAAGCGGGGCTATCATCTTGATCAGCATAACACATTTTAGCAACTTTCGCGCGCTTTTGGTCTCTTGACGTCATCATGTGCTTCATTAAGATGCATAAGCGAGTGTGTCATTGTTAACATTGTTTTGACTTCACTACTTTGGTCGTTTTATTTGCCTTGAGGTAAGTTATGAATCATATCTTATGTCATTAAATAACGTTTAATAATGTTTTCGCTCCTTTCAGATATCCCTTGAATCATCAAGACAAAGAGTAAGACTTTTATTACACTGAATTTACAGTTAAACATATTTACATCTTTTGATAAAATTGGTCATTTAATTCTTGCTTTGCCCTTTGGATGGTTTTCTTATGGTATTCCTGTGAACAGAAAGAAATTTCAATGAAGTATCTACTCGGGTCTAAAGCGAGGGGTCGAAATTGGACTTGGCGTGCGCGGAGGCTTGGACCCTAGCACAGGGATTGGATCCTATTATATATTGTATTTGTCTATTGTCATGGATATCTATAAACAAAGTTCAAGAATTCACATCTTCTAAAGGTATTTTTTATGTAAAGTGAACTTTACAACGTGTATCCTAAATTTGCTGCTGCTGCTGTTGTTGTGTTGTTGTTGTTGTTGTTGTTGTCGTTGTTGTTGTCGTTGTTGTTGTTGTTGTTGTCGTTGTTGTTGTCGTTGTTGTTGTTGTTTTTGTTGTTGTTGTTGTTGTTGTTGCTGTTGTTGTTGTTGTTGTTGCTGTTGTTATTGTTGTTGCTGCTGCTGTTGTTGTTGTTGTTGTTGTTGTTGTTGCTGTTGTTGTTGTTGTTGTTGTTGTTGTTTGTTACCTCTTTTCCCATTCTTTGCTCAACTCCAAAAGGTTTCTGTCACGGTCTTTCTTCACATATTTTCTTGGTCTAAAACTAGACTTCAAACTAAAAAGAAAGATTACAAAAACCGATGAATGTTGTTATTTAAACAATACTATAATAAATAACATAATTTGATGGAATTAAAGTTGTACAAACCTTGATTGACAATGATCATGTGATTCAGCTACGCCCTTATTCGCGTCACCGTTGCTTGTTGATACTGATTTAGTCTTGACTTGTTCATTACTGACAGCCTCATCAACATCCTCCTCGTCAGAAACATTACCAAACCATTCATCTCTTTCCACATCACTAAACGAACTCTCGACAATTTCCTCGCTGGAACTACTAGCGCTTCGTCTGCACCTTGCAACATCCCGTGTCTTACCTAGACTGTCATAAAACTGCGTCAGGAAATCCCTAGTGCTTCCAACATTTTCAATGAGTCTTTGCATGATTTGAAGCGCTGCCATGGCGTCGTTAATAAAGGTGAGGCTGGTTTTGATTCCTTCGACCTGTTCTTCTTCGTTGTCTGAACTTGTTAACATGTTTGTCTTCAGGGTGTCCAATATCTTGGGCCTATCTTGGGGCGTGTTTGTCACGTCCGCACTTTCGGCTCTTGCTATGATACACTCATTGCAGCAACCTGGGTGCTTCTGTCTTAAAGCATCTAAATTCATCAAGGATACGGTTCCATCAAGGTGTGTTGTATGGTTATCTGTTTGAAGACTTTCAGTTTGTTTAGCCTTTGCAATGTCACTCTCGCTCTTGACTGGCTCACGCCTTTGAAAACGTTCTGTCTTGGTTGTACCTGCTCTAGGGGCGTTCGTGTTGGCTGTAGTCTTTTCAACTGATGGTGTATTATCGACCGCGGCTCCACTCGCTTTTAAGTTATTATTTCTTGCAGCATATCCATAACGTGTAGAGTTATCCTTGGAGAAATTCCCATTCCATTTTGGTTTTGTCTTGGTGTTATTCCTGTCTTCCTTTGGCTTCGAGGATGTTTCTTCACTTGAAACAACAACCACTCGATCTTTGTTATCTTTTGGTAGTACATCCTTGGAATTACTTTGATCATTGCTAATAGCAAATCTTCTATTCGTATTTCTAACATCTCCGCTAAGGCTTCTTTCATTGCGAGATTTTCTCTTGGGACCGTTTACAATTTTCATTTCTTCACCTTCATCAGCTGCATTGCTGAAGGCAACTTTTTTCGACTTTGTTTTGAAATCGTCGGCATAAGAATTCTTACCGCGGGTTGGTTGAACTTGTCTTTCGTGAACCATATTTGAATTACCTTTCAGTGGCTTTTTAGTCGCGTCTTTCTTGTGATCTGTGTCATCTTCACTGAAGGACGTTGCTGAGTCTGTTGTGGAATAAAACCTCTCTGAATAGCGACTTGAAGCGGATTGATTCCTTCTAGCTACAACATCTGAATAGATCGGTTTAGCGGGTTCACCGCTGTCCTTTGCAGAACGGGGTTTAGAGGCGCTTTTCCTCTTTAACCACAGTTTTGGTTTCGTTGGTTTAAAGTCATTTTGTGGTTCTGTTTGGTTGTTGGCTGGGAAGAATGTCGGTACGCGATCAGCGTTAAACGTGACCGAATTAGCGTCAGCCGTTTCTAGGACAGAGTGACTTGCACTTCGATTTGAACTATTCTGGACAACAAATTCCTTTCCCTCCTGGCGTTTTACAAAATTGCTTCTTGTTCGATTGATTCTTGATTTTCCTTTCTCCGCCATTGCAACTCTCTTTGCCAGGTTTACGTCATAATGATCGTTGCTTGGTAACTAGGTTTATACTATGACGTCATATTAGGTCGAGCGCGTGCTTTATACTTGATTTTCGCGCGCTCCCTATTGGTTCTCGAATTTCTATGATTTTCCAAACAGTTTCTGTCATGTTATTTATTCTCAAGATAAATATTTTTAGAAACAGTTGACGATACCAGCTAATGTTTGACAGGTGGAATAATGAACTAGAAAATAAACAAGTGTCAAAACAAAACATACAATAATGACGTCATAATGTAATAATCAAATTAGGGACAATAATTGTTCCAGTATTAATTTGAAAGCTAAAAAAAGATGTCTGGAAGACGAAAGAGGCCTTCACAATCGYTCCTGGCGTCTCTACCCGAAATAGTCGAATCGATATTACGTCGCCTTCCAGCGAAGACGCTTCGTATCACATGCTGCGTCAATCGAATGTGGTTCGAGATTTCTTATCGGCTGCTTGAACAACGAAGTCGTGGAGTAGTAAAATACTACGAGCATTCGCTCATCTCTGCAGACGAAATAGAAGAGCTATTTTCTAACCTACTTGTTAATCCTAAAGTAGTAATTTTATTCAGCCAGCGAGAAAGTTGGTTGCTACGCAGGGATCCCGACGCGAAGAGGACAGAGGAACGACACCTCGCACGGACATTACATGTAATTAATCGATATAAGCCAACCAATAGCCTTCTGTTGGGTTGTACTAGCGAAAGGGTACTCATCGAAGAAAAAGACATATCCARTGATARCTACAGGCTCAATCATAAACGTCAAGGTCACGGGATTTTATTGCTACCTCGTGTCGAGGGCGTGGAATATCACCATGTTTATGTAAGAAAATCGAAGCCATCACGTGGTCAGACGTGGGCGGAGTTATTTGAATTGGACGAATCAACGCCGGTCAAAATGGTTCTCATCATGACGTTATCTCATAGTAGGGACTACATACCCCATATAGCTGCAGGTACGTTATCTCATAGTAGGGACTACATACCCCATATAGCTGCAAGTGGGTTTGAGTAAAGAGCACAAGGAGTATATCAAGTKATACTTGCTGTTTGTTTTGTAGATATGATAAGGCCTACTACGGGGCAGAAAACCGCCTTAAGGTGGCAAGGCTTTCCACCCAGTTATCCCTAAATTCCGCCCTAATTTCGCCTTAAAAACAACTCAAGATGCCAAGGGWCTCTACCCAAKACACCCAAATTTCCTTAAGTCGCTTTAAGACGAATTTAGACGCCAATGTGTCCCACCAAATAATCACTCAATATTAAGGCGACTTTCTGGCTAGGAATAGACCTATATTATGAATGTAGATTTATTTCCCATTGGATCAGTAGGACTAAAGTGCATCACAAAAATAAACAAACCAAATATGCTGAATACTAAAGATCGATATGCTCACTTGACATTATTCTTTCAGGAATTCGTCAAACCTACGGACCTCGTGTCGTCATCGTTGGCTCTGTTGCGCATGATCGTATCTTTATAGAAGGATTAGTCAAAAGAACGCGGATGACGCTGCTATTCATCAGCGGAAATACATTCAGAGCATGCGCAAAATTCATCAACAACGACCGCGATGCGCTATTTTATGAACGAATTGAAAACATTTCGGAAGAATCTCTACAAGAWGGCTACGAGTCGTTGTTCAACATACTTATTACATCTCGCTTTGTTACTCGTGGAAATGCTTTCTACATTAATGCTATGACAACGTTCAATCGCGGCGCCTCCAAGACCCCGACAGTCGGAATCTACTCATTTGGGGAGTTTTGCTTGAGCACTAAAGATGTTGGCAAAACAAGGCCTAATTCTTGCAAACGATTCATGAAACACAACTCTGCAATATTTTGTGCTTGTTCCTTTAAGAGAAGAAATACTTTAGGAAATAACGTATAATTTTCTGTTTTGCTACTTAAATATTGAAATTTTACATCGATTTACAATTCAAGTAAAGATAATATAAAACTTTGTGTTAAAATAAAAGTGGTATATAAAACACAATCCTTTATATATCTGAGATGAAAAAAGCCCCCTAAAATATGTACGATTTTTGACCAAAATGCATGGACTATAGCCCACCAAAATGAGTGAAAATCTTCGATTTTTGACCAAAATGCATGGACTATAGCCCACCAAAATGAGTGAAAATCGTCGATTTTTGACCAAAATTCATGGACTATAGCCCACCAAAATGAGTGAAAATCGTCGATTTTTGACCAAAATTCATGGACTATAGCCCACCAAAATGAGTGAAAATGGACGATTTTTGACCAAAATGCATGGACTATAGCCCACCAAAATGAGTGAAAATGGACCATTTTTGACCAAAATGCATGGACTATAGCCCACCAAAATGAGTGAAAATGAACGATTTTTGACCAAAATGCATGGACTATAGCCCACCAAAATGAGTGAAAGATCGGAAGA